TGTGACTTGTCTTCCAGAAGCTGATTGCTCTGTGGTCTCTTGTCCCTTCCTCATCAAGGGGCGTGAATGGGGATGAGCTGCATGGCCTAAACTTCTCTAGCACCATTTAATGGATCCGATATTGAACACTCGTCTCCCAAAGGACCTCATGGCCTCCAGAAAGGTGCTATCAATGTGCACCTATCAATCAGAATCCTTTCACTTAGCAGGCTCATTCAAGCTGGTACCTCTAGCCCCGACGCAGTGCAACACACGCCCATCCAGCCATACCCCTCTTCAGGAGTTACGCAGCTCCTTTGGCTCAAGGCATGGGAGCAAACTCAAGAACTTGTGCAAAGCGGGGATAAAAGGAGCTTAATTTCATCCATGCACTCCTCCTCCCCCCGTTTAGTTTCTAAGTTATCAACCCGACTTGAGGTATGGATTCTTCGAAAAGAAGTTTCAGGCTTGGAAAAGGCATCGGGATAATGACCGGTGGATTTTAAATAAAATATAAAATAATAAAATCGGGGCATTGAAAAGCATCTGCAGCTGCGTGAGACACATTTCTGGTTTGTGGGGGACGGATGTGGGGAGAATTGGCTGGAGGGGACAGACCTGTGGTATCAGCCCGGTGCCGGGGGACCTCCACTGAAACTCGGCCCCGCTTTCGCATCGTACCTCTGAACTGTGTCATTACGCTGCCTGCCTTAGAAGAGCCTGAAATCAATAAAAAGAAGAAGTTCAAAAACCCACTCCCTAAGCTGCAGAAAATCTGCCCTTCACTTTTCTTTCTCTGCACCCGGAGGAGCTCTAAACCTTCCTTCATTCCTACATCAAGCCCGAGACAACCAGGCTCCCTAGAACTCTCTTTTCTTCTGCATTATTTCTGCAACATTTTCCAAGCATCTGCGGGTCTTTAAAGCAAATGTGAGAAGGTAGCAAAGACACAGCCGTACAGCCAAGACATGTGGCACAGGGAAGGCGCACATAAATCAAAGCCGGAGAGAAGCCTGCTAGCAACCTGGAAATCAAATTGTGTCAAGGAGAAGGCCCGTGTGGAAAATAGATTAGAAGGGCACTGAACGAGAGAGAAGAAAGACAGGCTGCCCCTACTGAAGTTAATGAGAGGCAAGGAGGCCTGGAGAAGCTGGCTGGCGCTGCTTAGGGAGGGATTGGAGGTGCTCTGAGTCCCCCTTGGATGGGGCGATGTCTGTCTCTATGCTCAGGCCGGGCTGCAGGCTCAGAAAGAGATGAGGGGAGGAAGGAGATGGGAGAGGGAGGGGAGAGCAGGCCTAGGAATTTCGAGGAGCATAGAGTGACAAGCGCAGGCCCTGACACCGAGGGGGTGGGGGTGTGTGTCTTGAAGAGCCACTGTTACTATTATTAAATAAAATCTAGGGGATCCCTGGGGGGCTCAGCGGTTTGGCGCCTGCCTTTGGCCCAGGGTGTGATCCTGGAGTCCCGGGATCGAGTCCCATGTCGGGCTCCCTGCATGGAGCCTGCTTCTCCTTCTGCCTGTGTCTCTGCCTCTCTCTCTCTCTATGTCTATCATGAATAAATAAATATTTTTTAAAAATAATAAATAAATAAATAAATAAATAAATAAATAAATAAAATCTAGAAGTGGTGGACATTGTTTCTGGAAACTTCCATCTTCCTCTGTGACTTCCAGGCCCTGAGTGTTCTCATGCTTCCTTCTTTTTCTTGAAACCCTAAACTCCAGATCTCTCCTGCATTCCAACTGCTATGTGAGGATACGGCAGGCAGTCTCTTCATCTCCCCACCAAACTTCCCACCCTGCCAACAAAATCAATCTTGGGGAGAAGGTGAGCAGTGTCTCCCGGGGGTGGACTTTGGCTCATGGTGGTGATCATTCTGATCTGGCTTTTGGATCCTGCATGACCCGCTGCCTCAGGTAGCATGATCTGCCTTTAAAAAAAAAAAAAAGATTTTATTTATTTATTCATGAGAGACACAGGCAGAGGGAGAAGCAGGCCCCCCTAGGGAGCCCAATTCTGGACTTGATCTCAGGACCCCAGGATCACAGCCTGAGCCAAAGGCAGATAGATGCTCAACCACTGAGCCACCCAGGTGCCCCTGATGTGCCTGTTCTGCGGGATTTGACATGACTAATGGAACAGATACAAATCCCAAGTGCACAAACCCAGTGTTCTAGAATTCTAAGTTCATTTTGCATGTCAGCTTAATTTCTATTTCAAATCTCCATTCTGCCTGGAGGCAGAAACTTAACCTAAGCCAATTTGGAATTTGATCACCAATCCCTGAATAAATGTAAGTTAGTTTATAACACCAAACCGGGGCTCTGTGCCTGGGAGGTCATAGTAGTCATTAGGAATTCTTGCTGGAAAAGATTCTGGCTCCATTCTTCCAAACTCATGGAGGATTGTATTTCCCTACAAGCTAAGTGTGCCCATGTGACTTGCTTTGGCAAGTGAAACATAAGAGCAAGTGTCATTTCCAGAAGGAAGCTTTAAATGCCAGTTCAAGCTTTTCCTCTTTCCTTTTTTTTTTTTTTTATCCCGTCTGCCACAAAGACTGGCAGCTTTCCACCTAAACACTGCTCCAGCACTTCCTGGGGTGAGGACAGTGCTGATCCAGCACAGAGCTTTCCCCAATCTTCAATCAACCTGTAGTGTGAGAAAGGAGTCTTTGTTATTTGAGCCACGTAGACTTGTTTTTGTTATTTTTGTTGACCTGGATATATTCTAGCCAACGTGAAGGGTACAGGTGATGAATCCATTTGAGACATCCTCATTCCCACCTCGTCTTCAACTTGGCGATCAATCCTGAGCCATCCTCCATTCCTCACTCAGGGCCTCCTGGTGTCCAGACCTTTGTCAGGTGTTTCTGAGCTCCTCTTCGAGGACAGGAACCCATCTGTTGTCACAGCATCACACACTGGGCCACGGGCAGTTCCGTGAGGTTTTCAGGCCCATGGCTCAGACATTCCATGCCACCTGGAGTCTTGTGACTCTCCTAGGAGGTTACCAAAGAAGAAGAGCAAGCCTGCTTCTGTCCTAGCTAGGGTGTCTCACCATTCCCACCTCTTCTCCAGGAGGCTTTGGCCCAAAGCTTTTCCTAAATTCCATAACAGTTGCCTCTTCCGGCTTTTCCTACAAGTCCTACTTGCCCTATCCTTTCCCCCCAAACGTGGGGGGGACCCAAATCTGGCCTCAGGCTGGAGGCCTCATTCTTACTCAGCAGCACCACCCTCCCAATTCTATTACGCCTGTTTGGTGTTCTTTCCAACCCCCAAATGCTTACAACTCCTAAGCCAAAATATGCCTCCCCTTTGTCTCTGCGTACTGCCAGACCCCCCTCTTCCTTTGAGACGATGAATGAGTGGTGGTGTAGTGCTGATGCAGATCTCAGTTGGTATTTCAGAATATTGTTCTGTCCAATTATGAGGCTGAGAATTAAACCCAAGTGCATGACTATTTGAAGCCACTGGGCAACTGCAATGGCCTTATTTAAATAGGCCTTTTTAGAATTGTGATCCTTGCAAAGCTTCTCGGTGTGAAGGGGTGGAGGGTCCTGGGCATGGTGTCTCCCCTAGAGACTGTAAGATCCTCGACAGCTGAGCCCGTTTCTCCCATGTGTCCTGCCAATCTCCAGACTTCGATCTGTTGTGTGCCTGGCGCATGAACAATAGCATAGGACAGGCTGAAGGAGCAGGGGCCAGATGTTGCAGCAGGAGGCAGAGAAGTGGCCTGATCATATTTTGAAAAGATGACTTTGTTGACTCAAATACTTGGGACAAGAAAATAGTGGAAGATAGAAGTCTATGTCCTGTGACCAACGTGAGCAACTCTGTCGGAGGATATCTACTTCTGAAAATGAGCATGTAGTCAATAAAAATTAAGTATTTAAGGAAATGTTTTTAGACCCCTGGACTTGGAGAATTTAACTAATAAACGACAATGAGGATAATCCCATCCAACTTAAGCTTTCAGGGACAGGTTATGCTCCGTCTCCGTCTAGTGCCAGCCATTTAGATCCTGAGAAGATCTCCTTTTCCCTCCCAGATGCATTTGAAAACCCGAGAGAGAAGCGCAGAGTTTTCAGGGAGAGGACACAAAGCCCTTCAAAAGTCAATGCCTGGGCACCTGGGTGGCTCAGGAGTCGAGCTTCTGCCTTTGGTTCACGTTGTGATCCCGGAACCCCAGGAGCGAGCCCACAGGGAGCTCCCTGCAGGGAGCCTGCCTCTCCCTCTGCCTGTGTCTCTGCCTCTCTCAGTGTCTCTCATGAATAAATAAATACAATCCTTAAAAAAAAAAAAAGAAAGAACAAAAACAAAATTCAACGCCTGTGTGGGATACAGCCCAGGTTGTGACCTGTGATGGCCTGCAAGGCCAGAGGGGTCTGCTGGGGCTGGGGTGCAGTGACATAGCTCACGAACCAGTCCGATTCCCTTCCCTAATCTTAGGCAAACCACCACCTGGGGTTGGTGCGGAAAGGAACGGGCCTCCCCCGAGCTCTTTATCTGGCCTTGCCGGGGCAGACACGCCTGCCGGCAGGTTAGGTCTCCGCGCCGCAGCCCAGGCCAACCCCTGGGCTCCACGGGGGCGGGGCGGCTCGAGGGGGCGGGGCGGAGGGGCGTGGCGACGCGGAGGGGTGGGGCGGCTCGAAGGGGCGGGGCGACGCGGAGGGGCAGGGCGGCTGGAAGGGGCGTGGCGACGCGGAGGGGCGGGGCGGCTGGAAGGGGCGGGGCGACGCGGAGGGGCGTGTTGGGCGGGGCGTGGCGACGCGGAGGGCAGGCGACGCGGAGGGGCGTGGCGGGGCGGAGCGGAGGGGCGGTGCGGCGCGGAGGGGCGTGGCGACACGGGGGCGTGGCGTGGCGGAGGGGCGGAACTGAGGGGGCGTGGCGCCGCGGAGGGGCGGAGCTGATGGGCGTGGCGACGCGGAGGGGCGTGGCGGCGCGGAGGGGCGGGGCGGCGCAGGGGGCGGGGCTCCGGCCTGCCGGACGCCGGAGCGGACGGAGCGAGGCCGGGCGGGGCTTGGCGGTCCTGCGGGCGGCCCGCGGCGACAGGCGCGGCGGCGCGGCGGGCAGCAGCGGCCCTGGGGGCGGCCGGGCCTCCGGAGCAGGTCCCGGGCTGCCATGGCCGCCGCCGGCTTGCGGGCCTTCGCGACGAGGGGGCCGGGCTGGCGCTGGCGCGGCCGGTGGGCGCCGCTGTCGGCGGGCGTCTGCAGCAGGTCGGAGCCCGGGGCGCGACCCACCAGCGCGCGGCAGCGGGACGGCATCAGGTCAGCGGCGGGGCCGCGGGCGCCCTGGGCCGAGCGGGGCAGCTCCCGGGGGGTGGGGGGACCCGGGCGGAGGCCGGCGGGGGCTCGGCCAGGGCTCCTCCCCGCCCCTCGCGGACCCGTTGGTCGGTCCCGGCCGCATCCCGCCCGCGGCCCGGGGTTGCCTGCCGCATTCCGGCCCCTGCAGGACACGGGGCTCTCGAGTGCGACGCGTCCGAAGGCCCAGCGCCGCCCCGGGAGCCCCAGGCCGCGGAGCAGCCGTCGTGCGCTCGGCCTGGGCGGCCGGGCAGGCGCCTCCCCGCGGCCTCCGAGGAGGGCTCTGGGCCTCTCACACGTGGGCCCGGTTGCCAGGCCAGGTCCTCAGCCGAGCTGCTCCCTGGCCCTCCCCCAGAAGTGCCCGAGTCGGCGCAGGTCAACATGCAGGATGAAGGACACATTGTACTGAGCTCTGCCCTTTGGCTCAACAAGCCTAAAACCCTTAAATCAAAAAACAAACAAAAAAGCCCAGTGCACAAACTGGAATTGCAAGACGAAGTAGCAAAGGCTGAAGGACCCCTAGCCCCATGCGGGCCTCACCCTGTTGTTGCCCGGCCAGGGCCAGGGTGCAGAGACAGTCCTACCTATCCTAGAATGCTAAGTATTTAAAAGTTACGAATCAAACCAACAGCTATTATGTTTTCTTCTCTTATCCTGCCAAGTGTACCTTCCCAAGACCTGGAAGAGCATGTTTGAATTTATAATCCTGAGGCTCCTAGAGTTCCCCCAAAGCAGTGAAGAGCCAGCTACTGGCCTGCAACTTTTTTCTTTTCTTCTCACCCTGTGCTCACCCCTTCTCACCTCTCCACCCCTCCTTCCTGCTGCTTTGCCAGGGACTTAGCACACAGGCCTGCAGACACCCCATCCAGCATGCCTATGTTCTCTCTATCCCCTCCCCACCTAGAAACAATTGCTCTTGGCCACCCCATGGGCTTAAAGATGCCCCCTGCAAAGCCAGAGAATTTCAGAGTCTCAGGTAACTGCAACAGGGTTTAGAAGGGGGTGGTGATTTCCAGGTGGGCACATCATACTATTCAAGTGGACTGCTTGCTCACCTGGCATCGCACAGCTGGAAGAGGGCCAGAGCAGCGTCCTCTAAAGTGCAGGGCCCAGGTAGGGGTCCTTCTTCCCATTTTCAAGGGCAGTTCTGCATCTGCAAATCTGGTTCCATCTGGTCAGAACTCTGACTTCTGGCCTGGCAGCCAGTTGACCAAACAAAGAAGGTCTGGTTGAGTTCTCTGGGTCTAAACATGAATCAGAGAGGGAGACCATGGGAAGAATCCATCCATCATAAACGCTCGCAATCAGTATGTAGGAACCTCCAAGTCCATCACTAAATCAGTCGTATGTTAGGTGTTAAGTAGGTGAGCTTGAACGACTCTTTTCGAAGAGTTGGCATCCCTCTGTTCCTCTCAGCAATAATGCTGGTATGGAGTGAAGAGCAGCCAGGAATTGGGTACTGTGCTGTCACTGTCCAGTCGCTACCCCTAACCTTTCCAAAGCCCATGAGGTAGGGGACATTGTCCCCATCCCACAGTGAGGAAACAAGTTCAGAGCCGTGGCAGCCGGCTCAAGGCCACACAGCCGGTAGGAAAGAAAGCCAGGAGGCAGGAGAAGATCGATCTGCCTCCAAAATTGTTTCCACTCCGTGATACAGCTCAGTGTACTCGCCACTGAGATTTAAAAGAGGTGGCAAAAAAAACTAGATGAGGTGAAAATTTAGTGATGAACTAGTGGAATTGGCTGTGAGAAATCAAAATGCTATTTAGGGTCATTAATTTGGTCAGCAGGTGTCTATTGAGTGTCTCCTCTGTGTGTGAGCATGACAGTTCCTCATCTCAGGGACCTTCTGGTGGTTTACAATGATGTGTTGGGCTCCAGGGGGGCATCCCCAGGGTCCATCTCTTCTTGCCTTGCAAACAGAAACATTGCACCTTTTATCACATGCTCTGGTGGTGACCTCACTCTTGTGATTTCCCTCTTTCAAGTGGTGACATTGCTGTAGCTATAGGTGCAAGGGTTTGCCTTGTTTTGGCCCATGTTTTGGCCCAAGACAGCCATTGAGGGGCTTCAGACTGGTAAGATCTTTAGGAGGTATCACCAGCCAGGTTTGATGGCCACTTGACCAGGGAAGAAATAGCAGTCTAAGATAGCTTTCAATTTCTGGCTTGAGCAACTGAGTGGCAGCATTAAGATAAAGAGAAGAGGGGGGCAGCTTTGGGAGTTGGGGTGACGTTGCCTTGGAAGAGTATGGAACAAGTGGAGCGCAGTAGGGAGCTATGAGGATCATTTAGGGGTGAGCAGAAGGTGAGGAGCCCCTTGAAGAACTAGAGAAGGACAGCAGACAGGAGAGCATGATCCAAATGGCCATTGGATTTGGTTCTGGCAGTTGGGAGATTCTCGGCGAGGACAGTTGAAGTGGAGTAGCAGGGAACGAAGGCTGGCTGCGCTGGGTTGAGAAGGGAACTCCGCAATTTAGAGCACTGTCAGGGTGTGGAATGCGAGAGCCAAAGGAGGATTAATGGGCCACATGTGAACAGACACCGCTGTGCAGCAAGGGCATTTGGGCACTGGCATCTTTTTACACAATTTCGCCTGAGGCCTTAGAATTTAATTTAAGCATATGTCACTGATGGGATGGCAGCTCTTGGGTTTGCCACAGAAAGCACACTCGTTATCTTTCTGGAAGGTTCATCAGCACTTCTCTTACCGCACCCCCAAAATGTGGGTTTCATAGCCTATCAGCTAGCTACAAGTCATTCTGGCACTTAGGAGGAAACAGGTTTATGAGAAACAAAACGATGACTGTCACAGCCACCTGAAGATGGCAGCAAAGCCGGAATGATGTTCCAAAGAAAATGGTTATTCTTACAGCACTGAAATAAAGTCGGTCACCAAAGCGGTTTTCCAGAAACCAGTGGCGCAGAAGACTACCTAAGGATGATCCGGGCCAACACGTAGCAGTAGGAATGTCAGATTCAAAATGAAGAATGAGATGGAGCATGTAGAAAGCATGTAGCATGTAGATGGAGACCCAGGGGAAGCAGATAACCTATAGAACAATAGTCTGGTGTTTGGCTCCCTGCCCATTCCACATACTAGCACAAATAAGACATTTCTGTGTACAGGCAGCCAGGGGACAATACCGGTTATTTTCATGAGCGTGTGGGATACCTTAAAACAGCGAGGCCTTTGCACGGCAGCTTTGTTGGATGACATGTCCAGAAGGGCCCTCTTGCTCTACGCTTCTGTCCCTCTGTTCTTCACACGCAGCCTGTTCTCAGCATGAATTATTCTGCAGAATTTCAAGATGCCACTACAAAAACCAAAAATGGAAAAATGTTGTCTTATATACGTATTGGTGGCTGTAACTGCGCTGCCTCCTCTGTGGGGTGCATGGGAGGAGATTTGGGGGCATGTTTTCATTCTCACCTCCTTCCCTAGCCTTATTCTTTTGAAGAGCAGCAGAAGTAAGTGGAAAGGAGCCACAACGTGGTAGCTTCCTCTGGCTCTGGACGACCCTGTCTTATAAACCTCCTCACCCCTCAGTCCGGGTGTGGTGATTGGGGGCTGTCACCTGCCCTTTCTGGGGAAGTGGCAGTCATTGACAGCAAACATGGAGAAAGAGAAATTCAGGGAAAGAGGGAGGAAACCCAGCCCACCTTTCAGATAGTCTCCTTGTTTTGACTCAGCTGTAGCTCCAGATAGTTGGCAGGCCCTCTGAATTGCCTCTGAGCACCTGTAATTCTCTTTTCTGGTGTTTTAAAAATAGGCCCCAGGAATTACGAGGGTCCTCACTTATTTTGACTCGCGCCCAACCGAGTAATTATAACGTGTTCTTCCCAGGAACATTGTCCTAAGTGATCCCAAGAAGAGGAATGCGCTGTCATTAGCAATGCTGAAGTCTCTCCAGACTGACCTTCTTCACGAAGCTGAAAGCAAAGATCTCAGAGTCATTATCATTTCAGGTATTCATCTGATGTCCATCCTCAGTGTTCTTGCAGGACCTGGAAGAGGGTTCCTAAAATTCTTTGGTTAGCTGAGGCATTCCCTTACTTAACGGGAGAAGTGTTTTTCGAAACTCCTTTACAAGAACCTTTTTTTTTTAATTTTTATTTATTTATGATAGTCACACAGAGAGGGAGAGAGAGGCAGAGACACAGGCAGATGGAGAAGCAGGCTCCATGCACCGGGAGCCCGACGTGGGACTTGATCCCGGGTCTCCAGGATCGCGCCCTGGGCCAAAGGCAGGCGCCAAACTGCTGCGCCACCCAGGGATCCCTACAAGAACCTTTTGAAAAACTCCTGTGTAGTTAACTCTGGAAATTATAAGATTACCGTGCAGTGAGAATAGGTCTTTTTCTTTTTGTCGGATATGTCAGATACGAAACCTTGCCACCCTTGGCCGTGCTGGCCTTCTTAGCAGAATCAGAGAACTGATTTCTTCATGGGCCTGATAAGATGGGTTTAATCACAAAGGCTTCTGGTAGACTACCTAGTTGGCTAGGACAGGCTGCTGGGGCACTTGATCGGTTTGTTGGTTTTTGTTTTTTTCTAAGATTTATTTATTTATTCATGAGACACACAAAGAGAGGCAGAGACACAGGCAGAGGGAGAAGCAGGCTCCCTGCGGGGAGCCCAGTCCTGCACTCGATCCCAGAACCCCGGGAGCAAGCCCTGAGCCGAAGGCAGACGCTCAACCACTGAGACCTCCAGGTGCCCCCAGTTGGTTTGTGTTTTCTGTTCTTACTAAGCTTTCAACTGAGATCTGTGGTCTTCTTCAATGGTGCCAGACAGCATGCTATATTTTGCTCATTTCTTTCCTTGCCCTTTTTCCAGTAAGAATTTTTATCAAATCATCTGGTGATGATGACAGTGGTATAAATAATAACAGTGCCAGCATTTTAAAACCACCACAAAAATAAAACAGATGATGTCCTATGATGCATTTTTTTATTTTTATTTTTAAATTTTGTTCATAGAGACACACAGAGAGAGAGAGAGAGAGAGAGGCAGAGACACAGGCAGAAGGAGAAGCAGGCTCCATGCAGGGAGCCCAACGTGGGACTTGATCCCAGGTCTCCAGGATCACACCTCAGGCTGCAGGCAGCGCTAAACCGCTGCGCCACCAGGGCTACCCACATTTTTTTTTTTAATTAACAATTGGTGTTCTGGAGGCAGATACTCAGAATGTTACCTTCTTTTCTGTGGTTGAATATAAATTTTCAACTTAAAATTTTTTTTAATTTTATTATGATTTTTTAAAGATTTTATTTATTTATTCATGAGAGACACACAGAGAGAGGCAGAGACACAGGCAGAGGGAGAAGCAGGCTCCATGCAGGGAGCCTGACATGGGACTTGATCCTGTGACTCCAGGGTCACGCCCTGGGCTGAAAGCAGGTGCTAAACCGCTGAGCCACTGGGACTACCCCATTTTATTATTTTTTTTTTGTGAGAAAGCGTGCATGCATGCATGAGCACAAGCAGGGGGGAGGGGCAGAGAGAGCTAGAATCTCAAGCAGATGCCATGCTTATCATGGAGCCCGATGTGGGGCTCGATCTCATAACCCGAGATCGTGACCTGAGCTGAAATCAAGAGTCAGACGCCTAACCAACTGAGCCACCCTGGCGCCCCCAAATTTTCAACTTTTTATATGGTGAAGGGAAAAGAAATAGAACAAATATTGTCCATATGGGGTGTAACCTGGATACAGTAAGGCAGTGAACTCTGAACCACACGATTTTCTCACTTGTTTACAGGGATTAATATGGTCTGTCCCAACAGCCACAGCAAAAGGAAAATGAGAGGGAGTGTTACCAGCTGATCAGTGCAATTACATCTGGTTGTTGTTGTTAATAACAACAGTAACAGTAAAAGCACGTCCTCAGATCCCTCGTAAAAATAAGGGGTTCTCTTCATACTCTGACCTTCCTGATTCCAGCCTGTGTGGGTGGCTGTTATCTGTGGACCAAAGGACAGGGACACTGTGGGAGGCACAGTGGACTCGATGGGCCCACATGAGTTTACACACTCAGGCCAGTCCAGGTCCAGAAACAAAAGTGTGAAACCAGAGGGATAACTCTGCAAAGAGTACCTTTGTATGGAGTACAGAGCCTTCTCCTTGTTGGGATTACATGTTCTCGCTGGTTCCACCAAAGACCTTTGAGAACAGATGCCTCACCTTATTTTGTCACCACAAAATACTGCCCGTCCCTTTTCAAGCTAAATGGAATTAATTCTTCTCAAAATTGAGCCATGAACTTTCTCTAAGTGTCCACAGCACCAATACGATTGCTCACTGTCCAGTAGATGAATAAGTGAACGTTGAGGCTCTAGCCATTTACATTTCTTTTTTCTTTTCTCAACTGGAAACATTTGCAGCTGAAGGACCTGTATTTTCTTCTGGGCACGATTTAAAGGAACTGACGGATGAGCGAAGCCCAGATTATCATGCCGAAGTATTTCAGACCTGTTCTGAGGTAAGCCAGGATGAGGGTCGACATTGCAAGCCCAAAAATGATAGCTACGTAAAATACTGATTTAGGCTTCCTATTTACAGATAAAGTCTTATCTATGCACCTAGTCACTGCAGACTGGTCATTGGTGCATCCTTCACTCAAGCCACCATTTGATTTTGATTTTTAAGAAATGACCATGGTTTGCGATTGATCTTGTTATACACAAAAGAGGTGCTAATTGTTGCCACCTCCAGGATCATGGGGGTGTGTCTTGGTAGATGTGTCTTAAGAGGTAAAGGGTGGGAACATATATCTTTAGAGGGGAAGAACCTAAAATTAGTATAGTTTTTTTTAAATTTTAAACTAACACAACTCTGTTAATGCGATAGAATATTTGTGAATGGAATAACAATAATGATCTTAAAGATTCTTTCCAAACCGTTCTCCCAGCCAGCCTTTGTAATCACCACCTCCAGGTGGGAAAACTAACCCCTTCACATTTACTTCTTACTGTCTGGCTCTTTAACTGTATGTGAAGGAGAGACATCGCCAGCGGAGAGGAGGAAGAGGAACGAAAAGTGTGTGATGATTATAAATATACTAAGTCACCCCCTGGATAATCAAAAATTAAAGATAGAATACAACTTTATTTTATTTTTAAAAAAAATTATTTATTTATTTATTCATGAGAGACACAGAGAGAGAGGCCGGGACACAGGCAGAGGGAGAAGCAGGCTCCCTGCACGGAGCCCGACGTGGGACTCGATTGTGGGTCTCCAGGATCACGCCCTGGGCTGAAGGCAGACACTCAACTCCTGAGCCACCCAGGCTGCCCAAGAGAGAATACAACTATAATGCATCGCTCATTTCATAACTCTTTATTGAGCACTACTATATGCATAATACTTGCAAGGCACTCGGAAAAAGACAGGAAAACAGGTTTCCTGCCAAACTGGAAATGTAGGTGAGAAGCAAGACATAAAACAGTTTCAGGGCCACCTCGGTGGTGCAGTTGGTTGAGTATCCAACTCTTGGTTTCGGCTTAGGTCATGATCTCAGGGTCAAGCCCCATGTCGGGCTCCATGCAGAACGTGGAGGTTGGCTTGAGATTCTCTCTCTCCTCCCTCAACACCTCCCACTTGTGCGCTCTCTCTCTCTCTCAAATAAATAAATAAATCTTAAAAAAAAAAGAAAAGACATAAAATAGTTTCATACCTGAAAACTTAAACCTAACTTTTCATTCATTCATTGACTTGCTCATTTATTTGGCCATTCATGATTCAACAATATTGAATGATACCTTCTACATAGACGAGAGGGAGAGAAGCACCAGGGAGGCTGACAGGAAGGTGATTAAGACACCCTCCTGACCACTGTTTGTTTCCCTTGCCCTGCTAAAATGCCATAAGGAGATCCAAGTATAGTTTTCTCATCTCATGGAGGGACAAGCCAGAAAAGCAATCGACTTGAGGCTTCATGGAGAGGCAGAAGCAAGCAAGAGCTGAGGCTTAGGTCTTTTGTTTCACGTTAATGATGTTTATGTAACATTCTGCTCTTGCATCTGCCGTAGCATGGCACTTTGAAAGGTTTTTTTCCTACAAATATCCAGTATGTTTGGCTAAAACAGAAAATTATCGAAGAGAACCACTAGAGCCCTTGCATCCTCCCTAAAGGGCCTGCTTTTATCACTGTGCTGTGGTGTCTTCATGAACTGAGATCTAAACGGGTTAGCAAAAGGGCTACAGGGGAGCCAGAGCTTCTTCAGAGGATGAAGGCCAGATTTCATGGAAACTTGCAACCCATGGATGCCTCAGGCTCCCTGAAAAAGACAGTGCATAAACAGGACCTTGTCCCAACACAGGGAGGTAGGAGTGAAAGTGTATTGATTTCCTTAATACTTTTTCTAAGGAAATCACATTGTCCTGGATAAAAATGAACATCATTAACTTGTGCAAGATTTCAATTTCCAAATGTAATCAACACAGACTGGCACAGAATGAGCTAGATATTTCACTGTTGGGTTCACGCATGAGAAAATTTGACTTTAGAGAGGAAAACAGAGAATCACGAATTGGCTTAGCATCTAAACTATAGCAGATTCCTTACAGACCATGAGTACTACCTGCTAGTTAATTATTTACAGATCAGGAATAGGGTAAATTGAGAATGAGAAGAAAGACTTGGCTATGGGAGAGCAAAAGTAACCCTTTGTGGAGCTGATTTGACAGATTTCACTGGAGACCTACCCTTGGTGTCTCTTCTTTTGTCCTGTTGAAGTTTGAGGGTGGAAACCCCAGTCCAGAAAGAGACTCTTCTCTTTCTCCTCACCTCCACCACTGAAATGGCCATGGGACAAGGCCTCTCGCAGAGCTCTCGATAATGCTGTTGAGTGAGGCTAAGGTTTATGTCACGTTCTAAAGCAGGCAGAGTCCTGGAAAAATATTTAGTTCAAGAAGGTAAACTAGGACGGATAATAACTTCTTGACTACCAAAGGACTGATTGCCCCTGCTGATTTATTATCTAGCTTGCCCTTGTTTTCCTGAATTGCTTTCTAACTTTATTTAAAATACATTTTGGTGTGGTTGGTTGGGTGTCCGACTCTTGCTTTCTGCAAGGGTCATGATCTCAGGGTTGTGGGGTCAAGCACCACATAAGGCTCCTCACTCGGTGGGGAGTCTGCTGGAGATTCTCTCTCCCTCACCCCCAGTGGTGTGCGCATGCATTCTCCCTGTTTCAATTTTTTTAAATCCTTAAAACAAAAAAAAAACAGGGGCACCTGGGTGACTCAGTCAGTTAAGCATCTCCCTTCAGCTCAGGTCATGATCCCAGAGTCCCAGGATCAAACCCTGCATCAGGCTCCCTGAGGTCTCAAATAAATTTTTTAAATATTAAAAAAAAAAAAAAAAACCAGGGACACATGGGTGACTCAGTCAGTTAAGTGTCTCCCTTCAGCTCAGGTCATGATCCCAGAGTCCCAGGATCAAGCCCCGCATTGGGCTCCCTGCTCAGTGGGAAGTCTGCTTCTCTCTCTCCCTCTCCCCCTGCTTGTTCTATAAATAAATAAACAAACAATCTTTTAAAAAATATTTAAAAATAAAATACGTGCTAGGGTGCCTGGCTGGCTCAGTCAGTAGAGCATATGACTCTTGATCTCAGGATCATGGGTGCAAGCTCTGTGTTGGGTGTGGAGCCTACTTAAAAAAAAAAAGGTTACTTAAAATACATTTTAATTATACAAATAATAGGCACCTATTATGGAAAACTGAAAATCTAGAAAAACAGAAGGAAGGAAAATAAACTGCTGGCACTAGACTATCATCATACCATCCAGAGAGAATGCTAATATTTAGTATATTTCTTTCAAATCTTGTCCCATATGGACTTATTTGTCTGAATAATCATACGTAGATGAAATTCAATTATACTGTATAATTGTATAATGGGATTATGACACTGAATGCTTACTACATGCCAGGTAATGTTTTGAATACCTTAGACATATGTAATTCTCATGTCCTATACGGTTGGTACTATTATCATGCCCATTATTATACCCAGATGTGAAGAGTGAGGGTTAGGCAGTGGGTAAGCGGCAGACTGGGCATCAGACCCCAGAAGCCTGGTCCCAGCCCACTACACGAGGCCCAGACCACCACCACACTGATATGTCTTGTGGAAAATCTCATAATGAGAACACACCATTCCATTAAATGGACAGTTAGTTTACATAACCATTTTTCATAATTTATTTTTATGTATTTACATTACTTATTAGTTTTTCACTATTATAAAATAATTTTTTGACCAGACAGCTTTTTACCCTATCTCAGGATTATTCTTTAGAAGTAATCCCTAGAGGGGATCCCCTGTGGCTCAGTGGTTTAGCACCTGCCTTCAGCCCAGGACGTGATCCTGGAGACCCGGGATCGAGTCCCACGTCGGGCTCCCTGCATGCAGCCTGCTTCTCCCTCTGTCTGTGTCTCTGCCTCTTTCTCTCCGTGTCTCTCATGAATAAATCTTAAAAAAAAAAGTAATCCCTGGATGAAACATATGAATATTTTTAATATTGTTGGAATCTACTCTAAGACTCTAAGTATTTTCTCGCCACATTATACAGAATCCTAGTGCTTTGTACATAGATGGCGCACGGGAGACAGAGACTGTTCAACACTAATCACGGCCAAATGACTTTTCATAAGCAACCAACTCATTAGGTGACAGATGACACTCAGCCAACAAAATCTTTGCTGCAAGATGTTAGAAGTTCCTGAGCGTTTTTCTCCTTGCTGTTGCAGGTCACTGAGAATTAGCTCACCTCACCCTCACCTAGAGTACTTAACCCCCCCTAAATCCAGGAGCAGTTTGGGGGGGGGTATATTTATGTGTATTCTTCCGAGAGGATTATAAACATTTATCAGATTCTCACAGGTGACTCCCCTAAAGAAAGTCCAGAACCCCTACTATAGAATAGGATATCAGATCCTTCAATATATAATTAATTATTTTATAATAAAACCGACAAATATAAAATATTTATGGATGCAAAAGACTGAGTTCCTTGGGCAAAATCTTCAAATCAATGAAGGCCATGTTTTTCGGAGTTGCCACAATGGGAAACAAGCCCAGATGTAGGAGTTTCTTGCCACCTGCCCTCCTTCCCTGCCAGGGTGCAAAGTTCAACTCTTTCTACATAGAAGTTACCATAGCAACACAATCTGTTTAGAGTGGCATGAAAAAATGGAGAAATAAACCAAGTTATTTCCTAAGCTGCAAAAGTAAGTTAAGGTTCTGGAGATTTAATGGGGTGGGGGCAGGTAGGGGTCCCATGAGCGAGCTTTCAAGCTGTTTTGGGGATTGTATTTATTCTGATGACAGCAGGGTGTCCCCCACCGTTGTAATAGACTTGGGAGAGTCTTCATGGCCATCCAGCTCCTTTTCCACCTTAGTTTTTCAAGGAAGTGCCAAATACCGGTTTCAGACTCCCAGCAGGCACAGGCCCCCAGAGATCACAGGCAGCTCTGTGCTTCGGTGGGGCTGCTGGGGAAGCAGGCAGAGGGGACCAGGGGACCGTGGCCTCACAGAGGTCCTGCCGGCCTGGAAGGACCAGGGCTATGCAGTCAGCCAGATGCAGGTTCACACCCCTCCGCCTCTGCTTGCAGATCCCGCCACCTGGGCGAGTTACTTCCCCACCCCGAGCTTTCACATCCTCGGTGTAACGGAGGCTTCCCTCCTGCCGTGGGTCTCAGGAAGACCCAACAGTCCAGTGTGGCTCACAGTTGCTATTTAATGCCCAGTCAGTTCTCTTTAGGCCACCTTTTTTTCGAGAATCTGATACAGTGATGCGCAGCGTAAGGGTGAAGTCACATAAATGATACGTGTTGATGTCACCTTTCACTCTTGGATGGAAACGAAGTTGTGTGCTTGCCCCTCCAGGTCATGATGCTGATCCAGAACCACCCAGTCCCCATCATCGCCATGGTGAACGGCTTGGCCACCGCCGCCGGCTGTCAGCTGGTCGCCAGCTGTGACATTGCCGTGGCAAGCGACAAGTCCTCTTTTGCCACTCCGGGTGTGAACATCGGGCTCTTCTGTTCCACGCCTGGGGTGGCCTTGGGGAGAGCGGTACCGAGAAAGGTAATTGAACTCCAGTTGTGCACGGGATGACGGGTTCCAGAATTTGCTTGTTACAAGCACTGTTCAAATCAGGATATCCTGCCCGAGGCGTAGTTGGCTGGATGTGCCACCATGTCCCTTCTCATGTGTGGGGGCGGGAAGGGCCAGGTGCCTGCTCCTCCGAAGCTTCTACCGTGGGCTTGTCTGTCACTCCCCGCATTTCCCTCTTGCCTCTCCCTCAGTACAACTAGTTAGGTCTCCTACTTGTTTTGTTTTCATAAAGGCACACGTTCTTGTAATCTTACTGGCAAGACAGTTGAAACTCAGTTTGATTGTACCATCAGGTGGCCCCACGAGATACAATAGCATGGTGACCTGTGCCTGTATCAAGAGGCCAGGACACTCGTGTCACTGGCTTATTGTTTGCCAGCAACCTGTCTTGTTCCAGAGAGAATTGAAAAGAGCTGATACACTGAGTGCGCCAGGTGTACAGTGGTTACATTTTAGGAGCAGGACCAGCCTGTGCTTGGTTAATAGGATCTGCCCCAGAAGGAGCCATATTACAAAGGTATTTTGTTGTCACCAACCACAGTGAGGTCCATTTCTTCACCACACTTTCTTCCTTCCTATCACATCATAAAATAATATTTACTAAACATCTCTTAAATATAAACTAGGGGTTTCCTTGTTCTAGAAGAAAAAAAGTCCTCATTCTCAACTGGAAATGTGTTTTCAAAAAGGGAAGGGGGACAAAGCCGTGTACCATTGCATGTAGGGGATCTAAACTGCTTTCTAGAGTTTATTATCCATTTTAGCATCAACTACAAAAATTAGCAGTTGCCCATGTACCTGAGGCACAGAAGAAATGAGACCCAAGGGAAATCCGGCTGCAGGATCAAGAAGTTTAGGGAAGCACTCCTTTCTTTTCCGGCGCCTTCTTGTTAGTGTTTGCAGAAATGTGTATTTGTGAGGAAGGTCTGGAGACAGAGGCCTGTGAGTCTCAGGCACACTGGCTGACAGTAGGCAGAAGGTGAGCTGTCAGACACAATTGCTTGCTCCAAGGTTTGCAGACTAAGGGGGTTTTATCCTGTCAGGACACACGTTCACCTTAACTGTACATACGGTAATTCAGTAAATGCTTCCTAAACCCAGGCTTTGTGCCAGTACCTAAAGTTGAGGAGCATTTCAAGTAATTTCAGAGCTCATTAATAAACTACCTTACAATTGTGCAAACAAAATCTCTCTCGCATAGTATAAGGCAGTTGTCCTGGTTACCCTATGTGCAGCTGTTCATCCTCTTTAACGCCTGATATTCTGGAAGGTTCCACAAGTAAGGTATTTAAATCTTTGTATCAGCCCTGCTGTGACAATAGGAATCCATTCTTTCTTAACACAAACTATTCCCATCAAGTCTTCCAGCTGAGTCCTAGAATTGTAAACATTGTATCACATTTGTTGAGTTTCAAATTTGTTTTTGAGAAAAGGGAAAAAAAATGTGACAAATAGAGGCCTTAGGTTTCCGGGAATTCCAGTGCTCAGAACCACCTTGCATAACTGCCCAGCATGACCGATGACGGGGCAGGACGTGGCAAGAACCAAAGTAGCTTTTGTCCTCCGCAGACAGTTTTGGCAAGGACCAGGCCTGCCCTGAAAATAAGGGCAGAGTCTCCCAATACTGTCCTACTCAGCTCCCTCCTCTGTGCTCCTTGTGATCTGATCCCCTGGGTTTCGTCCTACTTAGCAGTCTGAAAGTAGTTGAGAGCTGTCAATAGATGTCCTTGCCCATCGGGTTCATTACTGCACAGAGGCATGAAGCGGATACACGGGTTGGGGTCCACACTGATGATCTGAGATCCCCATACCAATAAGGGGAATTCAGTAGGAAGGAAAGTCTGTCAGAACTTAGGGCCTTCGCCAGGTTGCAGGAGCTGCAGGGCTCACCTGTGTGGCCCCTGTTGGAGGCAACAAGGAATTCATCAGAATCTAATCCTAACCACAAATACCCCTCCCTGGCATCATTGCTTGTTTGCAGCCCTATGAACACACCCACTCGCAGGCCACTGGGCCCCGGGGGCGGTGGGCACACATCCCCCACCCCCATGCTTATCCACAGGGAAGCAAGCAGGTACTTCTGCAAACCGCCTGGCCGGCAGCCCTACCCTCCGGGCCTCGGCTGCAGCCACGTGTGTGGGCCACCAGTGCCCTCTGCTGGTCCACGGAGTCAGAGGGCTGGAGGGCTGGAGGGCTGCGGCTCCTTCTGGGGGCGGAAAGGATGGGGTGCAGCCCTTGTGTTCAAGCCACACCCAGCAGGGCAGGAACAATTCACATTTGTGTGTGTGTGTGTGTGTGTGTGTGTTTTAAGATATTATTTATTCATGAGACAGAAAGAGGCAAAAGCAGGCTCCATGCAGGGAGCCCAACGTGGGACTTGATCCTGGGTCTCCAGGATCACACCCTGGGCCGAAGGCGGCGCTAAACCGCTGAGCCCCCAGGGCTGCCCAATTCTCCACATTTGGAAAGCATAATGCACCTTCACTGCATCCTATAAATAGCCCGCCTCGTTCAGGAACAGGGGGAGCCTGTGAAGGATGCGAACCCCCCCTTCCCAGCCCGTCATCTCTCGGTGGTGGGGACGCTTGCTTCCACCGCTTTGCCCGCAGTAACTTTGTGTATCCGTGGAATCCGATTTCCTCGCAGGCCAATTAGAACAGAGTGGAACTTCCAAGCTGGAAAGAGGGTTAGAGCCTTGCTGCCCTCAGAGAGCCTGAGAAATGCAGGGTCCCAGGCCCCCCGGACCCACCACATCAGAGTCTGCACTTTGATGAGATTTGCACGGCCACCGGCCTCGGCACCTTGGAGAACATGCAGCTCAATGCCCCACTTTACAAGAGGGCCTGGGGGGAGTGAATCAGGGCCTTACCTTGTGTCTCCCAGCAACTAGGCTAGCCCCTCGGGGAGCTTCCTTCCTTCCCGAGCTGTTCCTGCATCTCTAGCCAAGATTCTGAGCCGCCACCAGCTGGTTCTTGTCATAGATGTGACTCGAGGGCCCCCAAAGACCCCAGTGCTCTATAGAGTCACCCCCTTTCAGGGCTGTGGTGCCTCAAAGCCAACAAGAGATCCATACCCAGGGACCCTTTCCTCCCCACTCCTGTCTAGTCAGATGCATCCATCTTTCACAAGAAGGAAGCCACTCAGCCAGCCACCTATTCTCTTGACTTCTTCGCTTTCAAAAACTGGGGCGCCTGGGTGGCTCAGTCAGTTGAGCATCTGCCTTTGGCTCAGGTCATCATCTTGGGGTCCTGGGATCGAGTCCTGCATTGGGCTCCCCACAGGGAGCCTGCTTCTCCCTCTGCCTGTGTCTCTGCCTCTCTCTGTGTCTCTCATGAATAAATAAACAAAATCTTAGGGGAAAAAAAAATACAGAAGGAAGGGTTAGAAGGCTGGGCTTAAGGACTTGTGCCATCATGGGGACAAGTGGACTGGCAGTTAGGGGCAAGTAATGCTGGGCCCCAGCTTCCCTTCTGCAAAGTTAGGGGATGGACTACATCCCAGCATTATCCAGTGTGGGGAATGTAATGATTTTGCGTTGGGGGCAGCAAGTACGTGATGCCTGTGGGCAGCTCCAGAGACCACGTGTTAGTTACTGACCAGGAATAGTATCCTCAGTCCAAAGCAGGTTTGAAGGCCCTGATTGAAAGCAGGGCTAAAAACCAGGTCCTGCTGATGAAGGTCTGGTAAGACCCCACTGAAGACACCCAGTGGGCCACATGAAGGGGCCAGGGCAAGGCCTGCCCTGGCTCTGCCTGAGAAGCACAAGTCAGCGGGGACCCAGGTGAAAGCAGGCTCACTGCACCTTCCAGCCTTTCTTTTCCTCCATTCACGCGGGTGCCTCCCAAGAAATCCCCGTGGCCACACCAGCCTGCCCTGCTACTGTCTGGTGGGTGTGAGAACTGCAGTATTGGCTCCAGGGGACATCTGGCAGTGTCTGGAGACTTTGGTGACGGTCTCTGCTGTTGGGGTGGGACGTGGAAGTACTGGCACCTGGCAGATGGAGACCAGGGAGGCTGATAAACATTCTACAATGCACTGGACAATCTCACACTGCAAAATATTATCTGGCCCAAAATACACAATGGCACCAAGGTTGAGAAGCCTTGCCAGTAGCACGATCTAGATGCTCAGGACTCCCCAATTTATGTCTCACACTAGTCCCATTATCTGTTACCGCCCAGCGAACCACCCATAACTTAGTGGCTCAAAGCAACAACCGTGATTTGTTGAGCTCAGGAAGCTGCAATGCAGACGGGGCCCAGTGAGGAGGCTGGTCTCTGCTCTGCCACGTGTGTGGCCTCAGCTGGGGGGAACTGGAGGTTGGGGAGCGACAGTGGGGGGCGGTCGTCTGAGCGCTCATTGACCCGCGTGTCTGGCTGTGAGGCAGCCTCTCGGCAGGGACCCCAGCTGGGCTGGTCATTGGGACGCTTAGCACAGCCTGTCCCGTGCCTTGGACCTCCCCGCACTCAGCAGCCCGGGTCCAAGGCTGAGCGGCCCAAGCAGAGGAGCCAGGCCGGAGCTGTCACCACCTTGCCCAAGCCTCTAGAGAACGGGAGCATCCCTTCTGCTGCACCGTCTGCTTTCGTCCCTCCCTCCCTCAAATGACTCATCGATAAGTGTTCAGTAAGCTGCCCGCTGGATGCAAGGTGCCCCTCTGGTGCTGATGGCACAAAAACTAAGTGAAAAACAAAAATCTCTGACTTGGTGGAGTTTACCTTCTAGCAAAGGAGATAATACAGTAAATAAGAGAAATGTGCCAAATATATAGCGTGTTCAGGGGCGCCTGGGTGGCTCAGTTGGTTAAGCATCTGCCTTCAGCTCAGGTCGTGATCCCAGGGTCCCGGGATCGAGGCCCGTGTCGGGCTCCCTACTCAGCCGGGAGTCTGCTTCCCCCTCTGCCACTCACCCTGCTCATGCGTGTGCTCACTCTCACTCTCTCACTCAAGTAAAATCTTAAAAATACATATATATACAGTGTGTTAAATGGCAGAAGCACAAAGGATGAAGGTGCAGCCAGAAAGGGGGACAGTGCTGGGGTTTGTGTTGCAGATTGAACAGAGTGGCCACGGCGGAGCTTGTGGACAGGATGACAGGGGAGCTGAGACCTGTAGTCATGAGGACGCTTGGGGACGGAGCACAGCAGGTCGGGGAACAGCCTGTTCAAGCACCATGAGTGACAGCAGGCCTGGCATGTCCGAGGAACCGCAGAAGGGTGCCCCCCTGCCTGCGTTTTCCACACGCAGCAGGAACCCCTCTTTTTATTTATTTTTTTAAAGATTTTATTTATTTATTCATGAGAGATGCAGAGAGAGAGAGGCAGAGACACAGGCAGAGGGAGAAGCAGGCTCCATCCAGGGAGCCCGACGTGGGACTTGATCCCGAGTCTCCAGGATCAGGCCCTGGGCTGAAGGCGGCGCTAAACCCCTGAGCCACCAGGGCTGCCCGGAACCCCTCTTTTTAAATCACGAGTTTAAATCTCGAGAGGCCGGGCTTGGGAGAATTACAGAATCAAGGCACCATCCACCTCAGGCTATGGAATAGAGCAAAGCACAGAGCGTGGGGCACCTGCATCTGTCGTTCTGCAGGCCTGGAACACAGGGGCAACAGGGGCCGTAGGAGGGAGGCGGCATCCTGGGTGACTTACCCGTTGGTTAGTGACATCGTGCCAGGCCCCTGTGTCTGGTCCCCACAAAGCATCTCCTTTCAACCCCTCCTCCTCTGGCTTCAGAAGGCTACCCTCTCAGTCAGGCTCAGGTGGTGGCATCTGAACGTTTCCTTCTGGAAAGCAGCCACTGCATTGGTCTGTGGCAGACCTGGGGCTCACTGGTGCGGCGGTTTTGCTCCCCCAACCCCCATGAGATGCGGCGCCTGTCCCATGCCTGGGGAGCTCCTGGCTTGGTGGGGGCTGGGAGATCAGCTCTGGGGAAGGAGCAGGAGAGTGTGAAGACTCAGGCCCCTTCCTGGGCACTTGTACTGTCCTTGCTCCTAGAAGGCCCCAACCCTGTCCTGGAGGAGTCTGGGTGTGTGGCAGGCCTGACGGATGGCACGTTACTTGAGGAAGCAGAGAACTGGGCTGAGGTTATAGGGAAACGAGCCAGGTGGGAGGGAGAGGTGGGGCGTGGCGAGCAGGGGCTCACAGGAGTGTGCCTCAGTGACACACGTTTCCTCCCTCAGGTTGCCCTGGAAATGCTCTTCACCGGGGAGCCCATCTCTGCCCAGGAGGCCCTGCTCCACGGGCTGCTCAGCAAAGTGGTGCCAGCAGAGCAGCTGGAGGAAGAGACCATGAGGATCGCACGCAAGATCGCCTCCTTGAGCCGTCGTGTGGTGTCTCTGGGCAAGGCCGCCTTCTACAGGCAGCTGCCCCAGGACCTTAGGACGGCCTACCACCTCACCTCCCAGACCATGGTGGACAACGTGGCCCTGCAGGATGGGCAGGAAGGAATCAAAGCCTTCATCCAGAAGAGAAAGCCCATGTGGTCGCAGTGAGTGGCCTCATCAGAGGAGGGGAGGGCGAGTGAGCCGCCACCCCAGCTTCCAAGGCCCAGACACTGCTGCTGCCTCAAGACTGTCTCGGGGCGGCCGGCGTCTCACAAAACTAGTGGTTTCCATGTACGTGGGCCATCGGAAAAGCCGTGATCCCGCGGGGGCAGGGGGAGCTGGAGAATCCAATGCTGGCTAGCTGTGCTGGGAGGCCTGGTCCTCCATCCGGTCCTCCAAGGGCTGTGAGGGAGGGATCACCTGACCTGGGAGACGGTGGGGATACCACGCAAGCTCTGCCTTCACAAGTGTCCCTAGAGGTGCCCAGGGGCGGCCACATGTTTCAGATCTCCCCAAGATGTTCTCTGCGCTGAAAATCTTCTCAATTCTATTTCTCAATAGAAATGGCCTTGGACTAATCTGGTGTGATTTTTTTTTTTTTAAGATGAAAGATTTAGAGGGACTGGTAATGTTATCTTTCCCCAACCAGACTGCAAGCTGTCCGGGGGGGGGGGGAATCATTGAACTCTTTGTGTGCCTGTACGTATGGGCATACACCAGGGTTCCTGTGATGAACGTCCTGGCCCGTCCAAGATCCTGAAACCGGGACCCTGGGCCCGACCTGAGGGAGCGACAGAGAACACCTGTTCTGCCCATGAAACACCACCGGCTCTGGACCTGTTTCCAAGCTCTCCTCAGCCTCGGGCAGGCTGTACAAACCAGCCCCGGGCACTTGAGCTCCTCATCTGAGCAGACGCGTGGATTTAGGGCCAAAACCTGTTCCTCTCTGGCTTCTGGTCGAGCACGGCCCAGGACACGTTCTAAATCCCTCGTCCTGGAGCTTTCCCATAGGGCTTACTGTTTCTTAAAGCCAATTTCTCTTCCCTCAGAGTAGAGTGTGGCCATCAATGTGATCAGTATCAAGAACTGAAACAGAAAAGCATGTGGCTCTACCCCGTGGTCCTCACTGGGGGCTCGCACACGCCGCAATGGATGTCCCCTGGTGTTTCCACGGGTTTCTGTTGAGATTGACAATTTTTTGCTTGGCCTGAGTTTAGAAAGGTTCTTTGGTTTTTTTGTTTGTTTGTTTGTTTTTGTTTTTGTTTTTTAAAAGAGCGTTTTCTTGGAAGGAAGAGCTTGTGCTAAGATGCTCATCTTGTGCAGAGGTCATCAGAGCTACCATTTACCAGACACCTGCCAGGTGCCCTCTGCACATTCTCATTTCATCCTCAGCAGACTCAGTGGAGCAGGTGCTACCATCGACCCCATCTTACAGATGAGTCGCTGAGGCCCACTTCTGTGCTAGGTCAAACAGCTGACACTGGGTGGAGTGAGGGCTCCAAGCACTGTGCACCTGAAAAGCCACGGACACACTTGCCCCTGGCCATACCGCCTCATGGGAGAGCCTGGGCTGGTGGGAGGCCAGCCCCGGGCAGTGACTTCCCCGCTCTGCGGCAGCTTTCAGGACGAAGGAATGGACCACATGCTCTGTGCCACAGAACTCAGCGAGGGCCAGCGGATTGGAGTACTGGCCGGCCACGAGTGGAGTTTTTACCACGAAGCTAATAACAGGCTGGCTGAAGTTTAGACTAGACTGTGAAGGACTGCCTGGGCTGCCATGGTCTGCCCCAGGACGCTGCTGCCCGTGGGGCTCCTGCTGAACCTTCCCACCCCAGCGGCCCGCTGTGGAAGTGCCTACTGACAGATGACACGCCGAGGGGCAGAGGGTGAGAAAGTGACAAAGCCTTCTCACATACACACGCGTGGCAAATGAGAATCAAAAGTTACTTCCCAGTTTCTGTGCGAGCATGCATTGTACCCCGAAACCGTGAAATCCTTGGGGCTCTGGGCCGGCTTCCCAGCCTGAGGTGCACTCAGGGACCACCTATAAATCTTAATCCTCAGCTGTGGAGAAGACAATCCAGGAGGAAGATCTGCCCCCCGCCCTCATGTAATTCATCCTCAGGCAAATATAAATTCCGGGTTCATTTGCATCCCTGCTCCCCTCCACCGAGACACCGAATGAAATTTTTCTGATAATCACACACGATGATTGCTTTTGGAAAGCCTAGTATATTTGTCTTTCCCTCTGTACCAATTACTTCGCAGGGAGCTTCGCTGAGCTCTGCCCAGTGGACTGCAGCCCCGCAAGGCAGGTGCCGGGGTGACAGTGGACCAAGGACCCCTCCTGCTCGCTCTGCGTGAGAGGCCATCCCAAAGGCTTGAGCCCTGCAGGATGCAAGCAAATGGAGTGATGCCAACCCCCAGACTAGCTTTACACCAGTGAATTTGGGGTGGTTGCCACCTAGGAACCAGTACTGATTTATGGAGCCGATTCCTGCCAGGAGCCCTGTGAGTTAGCTCTTACTCCCGCCCTGGGTAGGAGACCCAGAGAAGTGAAGGCACTGGCTGCCGTCAAGCCTGTATCTGGGTTCAGACCTGTAGGCCCCCGCAGTCTGTGCTCCTGACCACCACACGATATTCCTCCCAAAAGCTTGCTGTTCCCGCCTGGGGAGACCATGCATGTGCTCAAGAGGAATCAATCAGAAACTCCTGCTGGGCGCCTGGGTGGCTCAGTCAGTTGAGTGTGTGCCTTCAGCTCAGGTCATAATCCTGGAGTCCCGGGATCGAGGCCCACATCGGGCTCAGCATGGTGGGGGGGGGGGTCTGCTTCTCCCTCTTCACTGCCCCCCTCGTGCTCTCTCACTCTGTCTCTCTCAAATAAATTATCTTAAAGGAAAAAAAAAGAAATGCCACAGCCAAGGCGGCACGGTTTTGCTTACCGCAGGAGATTGGGGGAAAGCAGGGACCTGAACACCAAGAACGCCGCCTTCTGCTTCCAGGTTGCAGGTGATGCCACTCCTTTCACTGCCCAGCTGCTCTGTCTGTAAAAATGATGCCAGTGGACTCTTCTTGTCCTTAGTGGTGACGTTCCAGGCTCTGCAATACTGGGATTTGGGAACTTGCCTCGGAACTTGAAACAGGGCTTTTGCTCAAAGGAAAAGCTCTTTTACAAATGGAGAAGGTGAGCGTTCCACCTGGAGAAGCAGCAACCATCGCAAACAGCTGAGCACGTTTGAGACCGAGGAATCCATCACAGATACTCAGAGCTTCTGCGGCCGCGTCTGCACCTTTGGGAGGTGTCCCCTACGAGAAAGCCTGGGCCCGGGGCACATCTCTTTCAAATCTGGCAGTTACCCTTCATTTTGTCTAGGCGCATTATTCAGCCAGCAAGCCACCCCCCTTCCCCACCCACCCCCTTTCATCTCCTTCCTCTGAAAAGCCCCCACACTAAAGAGTAGCATTTCCCAGGTGTGGCCCGTGGGTGACCTGGATCGTCAAAGGCAGATTCCTGGGCTCCTCACCAGAGCTACTGAATCACAAATTCAGATTTCTGAGGCCCAAAAATATGCATTAAGAAAAAAAAGGTTTCCAAGTGACTCTGCTGTGTTCTAAAATGTATGAACGCCTGCACTGGGGTGGAAGTGACCCATCCTTGTCCAGCCATATCCGTATTATCCAGTTGAGCCAGCGCAGCTTTTACGATGAGGATGTGGGCAGTCACTACTGGCTCGGACAGGAATGTGAGGCTTGAGCTCTTCCAGAAGCCTCGTGCCATCCTCCCCGCGTGCAGATCGTAAGGCCTTCAGAGGCCCCGGGTGCTCATGCCTCCGGATGCCCCACCCCATCTCACGTGAAACCTCAGAATACACCCGTGTTCCACACTGAATGTAATTCTTCTATGTAGGGAAAGGAGCCCAATGATTGGCTTTTTAAATCATTTTTAAATATGTGATTAATGATTATGATTTCTTGGCAATCATCGAGTACTCAGGAGTTAAATTCAACATTATTGCCTTGACGTGTTACAGTTAATAAAATATTAAATTTCAGTCTTGCCAGGGTTTTTCTTTTATATTTCTGAGCCCAGAGTGTATTTTTCAGGTCCCAAAGAGAGGCCCATGGAAAGCTGGCAGGCAGGGTCTGTTGGCTGACATGGCCCCACTATCCCCTCCAGCTCCCTGGTATAGGGGAGGTGGCTGTTCCACAGGGATGGGGTTCGGGGAAGGGGTTGTGGGCAAATCCAGTGTTACGAGGTCTATGCTCCCAGTGTGGCAATCCTGATATCCTTAGTGATTTTAGAACAATAGTTCCTTTGGATCGTCCTGTCCTGCCCAGGAATGTTTAAGCACAGACTCTGAAACCAGCCTGCCTGTATTTTTTTTTTAAAGATTTTATTTATTCATGCGAGACACAGAGAGAGGCAGAGACACAGGCAGAGGGAGAAGCAGCCTCCATGCAGGGAGCCCGATGTGGGACTCGATCCTGGGACCTGGGATCATGCCCTGAACCAAAGGCAGACGCTCAACCACTGAGCCACCCAGGTGCCCCAAGTGTATTTTTTTTTATGCATTTAAGCAATCTTTCTTTTTTATGTTTTCACTATTTACCTTACCAAAAGAGATAATAATTACCAATTTTAGAAATTTCTAGAAATTTAGAAAAAGAAAAAAAATGCATCAGTCAGGGAGGAATGTGACTTAGAATCCAACAAGACTTAAATTTATGTAGTGATTGCTCTGCACCAGGCACCGTTTGCAGCGTTTTGCAGATATTAATATGTTAATCCTCACAAAATCTCTATGAAGTAGGCCTTCTGAATGCCACTATACAGACAAGAAACCAAAATACGAAGTTCTTAAGTGGCTCCGTATCACACAGCTAGGAAGAGGCATCTGGTTACGACTTCACTTTCTAAGACTGATTAAGGCAATGTAGTCTGAGAATTTCAAAGACCTCTCTGTATCATGTGTCCTGTACAGGGGAAGTGTCTTTTTTTTTAATTAATTTATTTTAAAGAGAGAGAGAAAAAGAGCGCACACCAGTATTCATGTGCAAGTGGGGGTGGGGGGCAGGGTAGGGACAGAGGGACAGGGAGAGAATCTCAAGCAGACTCCCCGCTGAGCATGGAGCCAAGATGTGAGGCCCATCTGAGGACCCTGAGACCATGGCCTGAAATCAAGAGTCAGACACTTAACAGGCTGAGCCCCAGGCACCCCAGCGGAAGCGGGTTTTGAAAGGCAGCGGGTCTAGTTCTGGGGCATGGGTTTGTGGTCGCTGCCCATGTGATCCTCCTGCCCCAACTCTTGCTGTTAGGTGACCGCTGCGTTGCATCATGTCGTAGATACTTCTAGTGTGCAGGAAGCACGTTAGGTTCTTTTTCATTCATAGTCTAGTGTCTTGCCCTCCCCGCCCCCCAAGGAAGGTATGAGTTCCTGCAGGAGCAGCCAGTGCTTCCTCAGCTTGTCAATCCTCGGAGGCCAGACACGGCTCAGCACAGAGCAGTAAGATCTGCTACGGTCAGGTAGGCAGCCAGGGCACGGGCTCCATGATGTAGACGGGCTTTTTAAAATTCGCAGTTCACCTTCTCTGAATCAGTCTTGGAAAGTGAAATTGCTGAGCAGAACGTGAGTAGGGGTGCCTGGGTGGCTCAGTGGTTGAGCGTCTGCCTTCGGCTCAGGTCGCGACCCTGGGGTCCTGGATTCGAGTCCTGCATCGGGCTCCCTACAGGGAGCCTGCTTCTCCCTCTGCCTGTGTCTGCCTCTCTCTCTCTCTCTCTCTCTCTCTCTCTCTCTTTCATGAATGGATAAATAAAATCTTTAAAAATAAAAAAAAAAGAACATGAGTTAATTCACTGTTCTCTTTGTAGATCCAGGGAAGCTGTAAGCATCTCTTCAGGAGTCACATTGCTCCACTTAGATGAAATCAGTCCCAGGCGTTCTGGAAAGCCTCTTTTCTTTCTTTAAAGGCAGAGCTGAGGCGTGTTTTGGTTTCCAAACAAACACACTTCTGGTGACAAAACACTCTTCACATAGAGGACGTATAAAATACATGGTTGAGGGATGCCTGGGTGGCTCAGTGGTTGGGCATCTGCCTTCAGCTCAGGTCATGATCCCCGGGTCCTGGGATCGAGTCCCACATCGGGCTCCCTGCCTGGAGCCTGCTTCTCCCTCTGCCTGTGTCCCTGCCTCTCTCTCTCTGTGTGTCTCATGAACAAATAAATATCTTAAAAAAAAAATACATGGTTGGTTGGCAAGGGGTGAGGATATCTAATAGATCTGCATTTGATAGAATCTACCCAAATGGTTAATATGCTTATTTGAACCTTAAGCCCAAATTGTCTCGTTTGTTACTGTCGTCACAGTTACTACTCTGATCATGTAATTGTCCCTTCAGATAGCAGCCTGCCTAGTTCTTAGCAATGAAATCTCCTCGGGGCCCCTTAGTTCCTATCAGCAACCTCTCCCCATCCCTGAGGTGGGACAGACAGTTGCCCGGCTGGCTGGTTGTGTCCCTTGCCCGGCCCATACCCTACAAGGACCATCACGCCCTTCCTCCTATTAGGCCCCCAGTGTGACCGGTCCCTCAAAGGTTTCCACGTTTCCGTGAAAACAGTTTTAACTTCCTTTTAGTTGTATAGATTTCTACCCCCCTCACCCTTGGATCTATTTCCAAAAGAAACAGCCAAAAGGTGATTTTTAAAACACCCAATGCCTATATTTATGAAGTGTCTACTTAATTGGAAAGTCTGATGCTAGGCCCTATGGGATGGGTTTTTTGTTGTTGTTTTGTTGAAGTATAAGACAATGCCAACCCTCCAGGAACTGAGTCCAGGAGACAAGATAAATCACAAACACGTTAAAATTCAAATACAAGAGTCATCACGGGACAGGAGTCAGAGCTGAGTGACCTCTGAGCTCACCCTCCTCACTTGCTGTGCGATGTGGGGCTAGTCGTTCAACTTCTTTGAGCCTGAGTTTCTTCGTCGTTATGAGAGGGGTGAGAACACATAGCTGCTAAGTGGGTAAGGAGGATTACATTAACATACGTGTGGCAACATTGTGGATGGCCTACCCGTAACTCCATATCCCCATGACCCCCCGTTACGGACTGAATTCCACTCCCACAAAATTCATATGTGAAGCCCTACTCCCCAGTGTGACTGCACTTGGAGAAAGGGCCTCTAAAGAGATAGTAAGGCTTAGGAGGTCATAAGGATGGGACCGGAACCCAACAGACAGAAAAAGAGAGCACACCAGTATTCGTGTGTGAGTGGGGGTGCGGGGCGGGGTAGGGACAGAGGGAGAGGGAGAGAATCTCAAGCAGACTCCCCGCTGAGCATGGAGCCCAGATGTGGGGTCTACCTGAGGACCCTGAGACCATGGCCTGAAATCAAGAGTCAGACACCACCGATGTGTGCGCACAGCGTAGGGGCCATCCGAGGACCCAGCAGGAAGGCGGCCGTCTGCAAGCCACAGATGGAGACCACAGGAGAAACCCAACCTGCCAACACCCTGACTTCGGACCTCCAGAACTGTAAGGAAATAAATTTCTGTTTTTAGAGTCCTCCCACCCAGTCTGTGTTTTGTTACAGCAGCTTGAGCGCTAAGACACCCCCTCCCGCACTTCCGTCTCTCTGTGGCTCTGCAGGTGAGCTCTGGCACCCCGGAGCTTGCTCAGCCTTCCACAGACCAACTGGGAAGTGCGGGGAGTTAAGGCCTCGGGGGACACCCCTGGAGCAGCAGCAGACGCGAGTCCATGGATAAACGCCCCCACCCTGGTTGTCTGAGGGGACGATGCTGAGGTGTGGTGCTATCTTTTCTCACCAGGGCCCAGCAGGCTTGAGCCCCGTCACCCACAGCGCCGAAGGTTCCTTAATGTGAACTCTATCAGCTTTTCTCCATCCCTGCCCTCCCCTCCCCTGTCCCACAGCCTCACTTGGGCTTCCTGAGATCACTTTCCAAATAAACGACCGCCCCCTACGTCCTTGACTTGGGGTCTGCCTTTGGGGGAAAGACCAAACTTAAGTCAACAGACAGATTGACATTAGCCTTCAGGGAACATCCTCCTCCCCTTAACAGAAAGGTGGAAACAAGGGGCACCTGGAGGGGTCAGAGGTTGAGCATCTGCCTCCAGCTCAGGGTGTGATCCCGGGGTCCTGGGATCGAGTCCCACACCGGGCTCCCTGCAGAGAATCTGCTTCTCCCTCTGCCTGTGTCTCTGCCTCTCTCTCTGTATCTCTCATGAATAAATAAATAAATAAAATCTTAAAAAAAAAAGGTGGGGGGTAGAAACAAGATTGAGCCACAGGAGACAGGTTACAACGAAGCAATAGAGCTGGCTGCTAAATTAACATCAGAGGCAGTAGGGGATTACAGGATTCGGGAGGAAAAAACCCATTCCGACTCACTGGGGCACAAATAGGATCATTGACGTAAAGCTTCGGCTTTTCAAGCCCGCAGGGACCTCAGCTCTCAGCTTACAAACTGTGACACCGCACGATAAGGTCTAGGTGGCCGAGAAGACTCAGACCTCGCCAGGACCGGTTCCCAAAAGCAGGATCCTCGGGCCAAGCGCTCGAGTGGCCGCCCTGTCCACCTCCCCTCCAAGCCACCCAAGCCCCACAAATGCTCTAAGCTCTCTGGAGGCTTCCTGAGCCGCGTTCAGGAGGAAGGCAGAGCAGGTGTGTTGTCCCCAACCTCCCCCACCAGAGGCCCCTGGAGAAAGAATTTATGAGCTGCTGCCTCTCTGGTCCCTTCCTTGATGTTTCTTGGCTTTTTGATGAATGTTGAAGCAATTTCTCTGGCAATGGCTTCTCATTAGGGGCCTGCTCATGCACCTGACCATGATCTTGCTCAGTCTCAGGCCTGGTCACCGGGAGGGCACGAGGTTGCAGGGGAGCCCACCCTCTCTGAAGCAGTCCAGGGCCCAGGGGACCCCACCAAAGCCTCCTCCGGCTTTGCCCGTGGGATGGCTCATCCTCCGGCACCGCGCTGCCCCTTCCTTCTCAGGTTTGATTCTGTTTCTTTCCAAAATCAATTATGGAGCGCTT